GGAGGTGATACCCAACCTTGTCTGCGTTTCTCACCCACAGAGCCCCAGGCAGCAGCCACAAGAGACCCGAGGGGCAGTCGGCCATCTCCTATGATTATTCTGAAGAGGAGCTGATGGCGAGCATTGAGCGGGAGTACTGCCGCTGAGCTGTCTGAGTAGCCCTGCTCTCCACTGACCAGGCCTTGCAGGCCTGTGAACTGGGCTAGAGTCAGAGGGTAGCACCTTGCCCAACCCATGTCCCAGACAGTGCGAGACCATTTCTAGAATACAGCCATCTTTTCAAACTGATCTTTAAAGATTCGGGGTCACAGTCCTGCCACCAGCCTGGCAGTCCAAGACTAAGGGCAAGCAGGTCTTGGGCCACAGGTGTGTGGGCGCCTCCTCTCTCTCACACAGGGGACGCCTGACTGTGTTGTTCCCCTCAAATCTAAACTGTTAGTCCTTCCAACTTACTCACTTTCCAGGTGGGGAAGTGTCAACCCCTCTTGGCATCTGTGCCACAGGCTTCTAGAAGATTCCACCAAGGAATGTTCTTGGTCTTCACACTAAGATTTCTCCAGATGGATAGTTAGCTCTATGTATGTCAGTTTCCACGTGCACACAAAGGGCTGGAGTATATGGCTGGAGGCAGATCCTGAGCTTGTAGGTCTAGGTGGGTCCAGAGACTGCATTTCTAACAGCACAGAGGTAAGGGCAAGCTGCAGGTGCCAGGACTGAGGGTCTGCATTTCAGACTTTCCCTCGGCTTCTCCGTTCCTCATGCTGGAGGCTCCTCCAACAGCACACCAGCCTGCCCTACTTGGATGTAGTAGGAAGAGAGTTTGAGCCAGGAGCCACAGACCACTCTGGCATCCCAGTATTAACTGAGCTTGTGGTGAGATGCAGCTCTCATGGATTCCCCCTCTGGGCATCAGTTTCTCTCTTTGAGGCCTTCCAAGCCCTATCAGCCTGGCAGCTCTGCCTTCTAGCCCAGCATCTCCCAGTTGCCATTGTGCTTTAGCCATCCTGCTGAATGCAGAATTGTATAGGTCTTCATGACAACTGCTCTCCGGTTTCCCTTTGGCTGGCAGTCTGGCTAACAGCTGTGTGGACCTCTTCTCCTCCTTGCTGGGGGTGGAAGGCAGTCACAGAAGAGCTTTCAAACATTCCCAGTGGACAGAGGGGGAAACACAGAGAACCTATGGGAAATAGGGAGGGGCTTGTGTGGGTCCTTGTAGGACCTGGGTCTCGCTCAGGTGTGTGGAAGTACCTGAACAGCTGGTGAGGATGCTGGCAGAAAGGGCTCATAGTGAGTGGTGGCATATGCTTACAGTAGTCATCCGGCCAATGCTAGAGGGTGACTGCCAACTGAAGGCTACATAGTGAATTCAAGACCAGCCTGGACTATGTAGTGAGATGCTGTGTCAGAAAACAAGTAGAGAATGAGGGAATGGCGGCAGCTTTTGCTGAGGCCAGAATAGGTCTCAGCTTATGTTGCATTCCCATACCAGTATCCTCCCTCTCCTGAGAAATGCTGCCAGCCCTCAAATCCTCAGAGCTTAACCTGGAGCATCTCAGGAACCAAGGAAGAATGGTAACCAGGACTGTCCCCACACCCACGTCCCTTTGCAGTCGCCTGCAAATGATTCCATGAACTCTTACGACCTGACAAGTGTGCCTTTGAGTTCGCAGCTGGGAGACTTGGGCTACAGTTGGAGTCCAGAGTCAGGGGGGGTCTGCCAGTTGGCTGAGCCTTGGGTCAGCACCTCCCAGAGCTGGAAGCTGCATCTCCCCAAAGCTCAAACCACTGCTTTTGATATGAAGAAGAAATCAGTTTCTATTTTAATATGTCAACACAAATGTTACAAATGCTTATTTTAAAAGGTTAAAATGGCTTATTTTAAAAGGTTAAAATGTTACATTTCAACCAAAGGATGAATAAGGCTTTGCACTTGATGTTGTGAATATTCACAGCTTTATGTAATAGGCACGTTCATCTGATTAAGAGAAAGGTGGGGGCCGGGAGGTGGTGGCACATACATGCCTTTAATTCCAGCGCTTGGGAAGCAGAGGCAGGTGGATCTCTGAATTTGAGCCAACTTGATCTATCTAGAGGGAGTTCCAGGACAGCCAGAGCTGTGACACCGAGAAACCCTGTCTCCAAAAACAAACCTCCCTCCCTCCCTCAATTCCAAGGATGTCGGGAACAGTGGCTAGCCAGAACAAATGTGTGCCAACTGGTGAGCTGTGGTTCTGGGAAACTCAGGCTCTGGAAAGGCTGGTTCTGCCAGGTGGAGCTGGGTATCACTGCAACCCACAAGAGCAGTTCCTGCACCGCCCATGTGCCAGGTACCCACCATGTCCTATATTGCACAGCTGCTTCATGGTTAGTTGCCCACATTGTCTTTCCAGCCACGTGCCCAGCTCTAAGCCGAGTGTGAGACCTGCCCATGCACATGAGCTGACCCTGGTTCCCATCACAGAAAGTTTAAGTAACCACAGACTGTCACCAGTTCTGCAGCAGATCTCCCCTAAGATGTGCCAAGACTGTGCTTGAGAAAACATGAGCCCTTCCAGTCAGAAATCATGGGAAGGCTTTATGGACGGAGGGGCAGAGCCTTGAGATGTCTCCAGGCCTCCATCTGCTCGTGTGCTCATAGAGCTTTGGCTCAGCTCAGAAGGGGCCTCCCATACCAGCAGGGTTGGCCAAAACTGCCTGGGACAAGCTTTTATTTTATTTTATTTTATTAGTTCAAATTAGGAACAAACTAGCTTCAGATTCAATTCCCTCCCACCCCCACCCCCCACCCCCGGGACAAGCTTTTAGGGCCCTCTTTTCTGATGTTCCCAATTCTCAGAGGCACTTCATTTCCTGGAACGATGCCCAGGCCCCTGCCTGGGAGTCCCACCCATGGTAATTTTGGGATTCATGAATGGATGTCACTGCCCCAACAGAGGGCTCCCCTCACTGGGCTGCACTCTGAGACCAGCTTTTGAGTGTCAGGGCCATGGGGGTACTTTTCCTCCTGTTACAAGCTAGACAGAAATAAAATGTAATCAGTTTTTTTTTTTTTTTTTTTTTTTTTTTTTTTTTTTTTTTTTTTAAGAGCCAAGGAGATGGCCCAGCAGGTAAAACACTCGATGCCAACCACGTCTGTGAGTCCTGCCCTCAGAGGGCACAGTGGAGGGATAGAAGAAGCAAGTGCTGCAGGTTGTCCCGATTCCCACATGCACAGATGTCATGGCATACACGCATACACACCACACACACTCTCCCCGCTCCCTCTGCATAGATGAGCATGGAGGAGGAAGGTGTCCTCGGGTGATTCTGGGCATTAAAGAGCATATATCACATTCTATTTTAAATCATCTTTATCACCTTTTAATCTGTGGGTGCACACACACATGTCTATACGCATAGTACACGGGTGTGCATGCATCGGTGCACTCAAGGAAGTCAGAGGACAACATGCAGGTGCTTCTTGCTTCCCACCATGTGGATTCCAGTGAGCAAACAGGTCCCCAGGCTTGGTGACAGGTGCCTTTACCCACTGAGCCCTCCTGTGAACCCATAGCCACATATTAGACTCTGGAGGTTAGTCACTTTCTCTGGGAAGGCAGAGAATTAGACCTTTTTGGGGTGCTGGCCTGAAACATGGTGTACACTTAGGCCTTGAGAGGCAAGAAGGAACTGTGATCTGGTGTAAAGAAATCCTCCTTTTTCGGGTCATGGTGGTGTACACCTTAATCCCAACACTCAAGAGGCAGAGGCAGGTGAATCTCTGAATTCAAAGTCACCCCAGTCTACAGATCCAGTGAGTTCCAGGACAGCCAGAGCTACACAGAGAAACCCTTTTCAGTGTTGGCAAGGAAGCTTAGCCCTCTCTGAAGCACAGAGACTGGGGAAAGACAGAAACACTTGAGCCCCCAGAGGTACTTGGCCTGAGGTTTGCACCCCTAAGTTGTTGGTGCGTCAGGATGGGCCCTACAACCAGACATCCAGAAACGGAAGCAGCATCTGTGGTGACCTGTGGCACTAGGGAAGTTGGTAGGACTTCCCAAGGCCAGTTCCAACTCTCAACAGTGACATCAAGAGTCAAGAGTCCAGCTGGGGACTAGCAAAGCCCCTAGGGGTTAGGCTACCTCTTGGGGAGAGAGAGACTGCCAACAGGGGAAGGAGGGAATGTATGTGCCTCTCTTCCCCAGGGCAGCATCTGGGTGAGTATAACCCTGCTGATTCCTTTAGTTAGCAATGCAGATTCCTGCAAAAGCAATTCCTCTTGTGTAGGACAGACAGAAAGGGGCACAGTCCATGCCAGGCTTTGTGCAGCCAGGCCCTGGATGAATAAAACAGAGGGGTGAGGTGGACTATGTGTCTGGGAGACACAGATGGAGGGGTAAGCCACTCAGCTACTCACAAAAAGGGGGCTGGCTGGATTCACACAAAGATAACTCTGGGTCAGTCTCTGTCTACAAGAGCCCAGGACCAACAGGGGAGCCCTCACCCTGCTCTCCAGGTCCCGCTATGTCCCAGGGGCATTGGTGTCCAATGAGGAATGCACTGCAAAGTCCAGCCGGATGCTAAGAGGTGGGGAGGGAAGACACACATGGAATCCCTGCTGTGGATGGGAGCTGGTTGGTTATGTGTGGAGATGGAAGCTATTCTCCATTAGTCTGTGTTAGGTAAAAGTGGAAGTGGAAGTCTTATTACTGTTGTTAATGCTCAAACTGCCACATCTTGGCTACAGAATTCTTATGAGTTGACCTCTTTGTCACTGTATTGTTCCTCCCCACCCCCAAACAGATTGAACCCCGCAAAGTAAGAGTTCAAGTTAGGTCAATATATGATGACTCTTTCAGACTCCTATGAAGACTGTGTGCATTAAAAGTCTGGACACAGTTACACAATACAGCACACAAGTCCCAGTATGCAAACCAAGAAAGTTTTATATGATTCAAAGCAAAAGGCTACATTACACATACTCATTTAAATAAGTCAAAGTCTGTTACATGAAACATAAGTATTTGAAACATTTAAATTTTTATTACTGAAACTACTAAAAGGCTCAACAAGGTAAAAAAAAAATCAAGCAGAACTGCTCAAGCGATAAAGTGCACTGGGGGTGCCTCACCATGGGGGGGGTTAGGGAGCACTCTCAAGGGAGCAGTGCCCCCCCTGGGCTCTGGGGTTCAGGAGTCCTCTTCACAGGAACTGTTTTCCAACTTAAGTCTTTCAGTAGACAAATGGTGGGGGTTTTCCACAGAAGGGGTTTCTACATCTACTCAGGAAATGGAACCCTAATGGTATTTCAACACATTGATTACTTTAGAAACAATACTGGTCAGAGAATGAAATTCTATATGATGAGCGACTAAACACTCCAAGACATTCCGTTACCCACAGAGACACCAGGACAAGAACATCACACTCTGCATGTCACAATGAACAAAGACATTCCCATTGGATGCCATTTAAACCACTTGCACAATCGTCAGCGTGGCAGACAGGACTGGGGTACTGGGACACTTGTGAGCTATGTACAGTTAGTTCTCCTGTGGCTTCCTTATGTTAAAAGACAACCGAATGGAGAGCTGTCCCGACATTTCCTAAACACACATACATACAAAACTTTGAGGCTACCAAAGGCAGCTTAACAGGGATCAAGTAACATACAATATATGACCACATGAAGGTTCTATAGTCTCAAAAGACCTGAACACAAAATCTCATTTATCTAATTAATATTTCAACTTTGCCATCATTTAAATAGTTAAACGCCAGTATTAAAAGGCAAATACAAAATCTAATACAATACCACACAAAAATATTTTCGGGCTGCCCAAACAGTGCAATATATTGTTGTCACTTACTGTATTGCCTGGACTTCCCAACATTTAACTAAAGCCAGTTTTTGGCCACTATCTGCAGGGCACATCTCACAAGGCATAAAAGCAGCACCCATGATCTGTTTTTCATCCCCATTGCAAGACTTCTCATTTAAGTGAAATCATTTCCTTCTCACACAGTGAATAGAAGAAGGGCAGCTGAGTGGCCTCCCCTGCCATTTAGTGAACATGAATTCCTCAGAGTTTTGTCCATAATTAAAGAAGGCATCTGAACCCCAGAGGCCACTGTGCACGAACACCTTGCTTTCCGTCTAGTTGCACTTTGGGTGGAGAGTTTATCCAACCAACATAGACATTTGCTTTTCTCTGCGTGGTCACTGAACCATCATGCAATACAAAGACCACACCAGGAGCCAACAGACAATCCATAAAGCTTGGTGCCGGCATTCATGTTTCTTGGTGCTGAAGTATAGACGGCCATGGGATCATTTGCTCTCAGCCAACAAATGGCTCAGAAGTCAACATCATGCAGTCCAGACAGACCCTCCACAGGGACATCAGACTAGCTCTACCCAACCACATTTTAGTTTCATGGGCTACAGGACTGACTGCTAGAATTTCCCCTGACACTGACACAAAAAGGCTGACTACAAAGTTTTTTTTTTTTTTTTCCCCTTTAAGAGCTCTTTATTCAACCAGTTCTGATCTAAAACATTTGCTATAAAAGACTGGTAACAAATTTGTGATTTTGATTTGTTTTTTTCCTAACTACCAAGAGTACTTAAAGCAGGGTCATTACAAAACTTTGTTATAAAACATTGGAAAAGAAGGTTGTAAAACTGTCTATCCAGAAATTGGTGATTTGAGCACAATATAAATATTTTTATAAAAAAGTATAAAAGTTAGTACCCTGTCTCATTTCTACAAAAAACATTATAGAAAGGCTGTTAAAAAAAAAAAAAGCTAGACTCTGTAAACTTTATTGCCGAATTATTTGTTTGAATGCTGGTGATTTAGATCAAATTTTCTTCCATTTCCTTACAAAAGAGAGAGAGGAGAGGGACAGACAGAATGACAGAGACACACAGAGAATTAGCACTGAAACTACAAGAGATACTGAACAGGGTCCCAATAGGGAGAGTAAAGTTAATGTACTTCCATCAGAACCGGCTCCTTACTTCAACAGCCCAGAGACCATGCTTTCCTTTGTTTTGTTTTGTTTTTTGGAGAGGAACACACAGGTCCCATTCCCCACTCCTGAAGAGGAGTTTGAAGAAGCCCACAGGTGACGGTCATCAGGGAACCGTCTCAGCCGGAGGCCGGCAAGGGCTCAAGGATGCTCCCAGACTTCTCTGCCAAGGTGAGTCTATTCAGTTTGCCCACCTCTGCCTGCCAGCCTGGGATCTTCTTGGTTGTCATGTGGCGCCGGGCATGCTTTGTCAGGTGGTCGCTCCTCATGAAGCGTCGGTCACACACAGGACACACAAACTTCTTCTCCCCAGTGTGAGTTCTGCGGTGGCGAGACAGTTCATCTGACCTTGCGAACTTTTTATCACAGCCGTCCCAGCTGCATGTAAAGGGCTTCTCCCCTAGTGGAAGAACATATTAATATAAACGTGCCATCTCAGCACCTTACCCAGAAGCCCACGAGGGCTGCCCACAGCTCTGTTCGCCAAACCTCAGAAGAGTGGGCGGCCCAGAGTTCAGCAAACCCTCCACAATGCATTTCTTTCGACCTGTAGATGCAATATGCCAGAGCCCACAGGCATCAAAAACTAGGCTAATCTCTCAAAAGTTTTACACGTGCACATGTGTGTTAGCTCGCTGCTTTGCTTTTCTGATGGAGACTCATGCAGCCCAGGCAGGCCTGGGACTTGGAACCTACTTTAGTGCTAGAGTTACAGTCATGTGCTACCACCGCTGGTTTAATAGGTGCACTTTAAAATAAATAAAAACAAGTCTCTTTTACTTGGAGATTTTTTTGAGACAGGATCTTACTATGTAGCCCTGGCTGGCCTTGAACTCCCCACATAGATCAGAACTCAAAGTCTGCCTGTTTTCTGAGTGCTGGGATTAAAGGCGTGCACCACCATTCGTGGCATTTCCTCCCCTTTGATAGGGTCTTGCTAAGTAGCCCAGGCAGTCTGGAAACTTGAGAGTTACTCCTATCTCTAAACAATACTGTTTTTTTTTTTTTTTTTTCCTTTCTTTTCTTTTTTATTGGTGGGGGAGGCATTTTGAGACAGGGCCTCCAACAGCCCTTACAGCTAAGGAAGACACTTCAATTTCTGATTCTCCTAACTCTACCTCTTAAGTGCACCACCCCCAACTTTACAGGGTGCTGGGGGTAAACCCGGAGCTTCATGCAGGCTAGGCAAGTACACCTAGCCTACTACCTACCATCCACAGATGTGGGAGAAAAATCCTTTAAGGAAATAATTCTTTCTCTCTCAGGACAAACTACACACACCCCAAAAAGTCCTTCCAAGGGGCTTTAAGATTTCTTAGACTCATTATTTCACGTCCATATTTTTTAACATACTGACAAACAGGTTATGTTAATTACTTTCCATGATGTTAGAAGTGTTTAATTACTTCCCACATTGCTGACAAAAGCAAACTAAGGGAGTTTAATCTGGCCTGGTTGGAGGGGGCAGGTCCATCATGGCGGGAAGAGCAGGAGGCAGCTGGTCATGTTTTGTTCACAGTCCAGAAGCACAGAGAGATGAACGCCGGTGCTCAGCTTGCTTGTCTCCCTTTTATCCAGTCCAGAAACTCAGCTAACGTGGGTCTTCCCACCTTAGTTAACCTAATTTAGATAATCCTTCACAGGCTCACCCAGCTTGTCCACTAGCTCCTGTCAGGCTGACGATATTAACTATGGCAGAGGTCAGAGTGATAAAAAGACAAAGGTTTGCCTTCTGAAAAGATACTTTCTGGTTGGAAGTGTCTATCAGCGCTTCAGAGCAGGTGCCCTGAAACATATTATCTTCCTGGAGTTACAGAGGTAAGGAGCCTTCGGGCAGATAGATACTGGAGCCCTTTTCTTTAACAAACTCCTGTTCCAGCCAGCCAGCACAGGGACAGGCCCCTCTCTGTGTTCTGAAGTCTCCCTACCTGGCTGTGGCAATCACAGACTACATGTACAAGGGACAATTCACTAGGCAGCTACTCACTGCTATAAGATCTGTCTCTCCATGGATTTCCTATAGGAGGTAGCAAGTAACTCCACTGACTCCAGAAGTTCTTAGAGTGGAGTTAACAGAAAATCCAGCAGTGAGGCTTCCTGTCCAGTGATTTCAGTATCTTCATGGTAAGCATGGGGTGGGCTTACGTGGTTCCACTATGACCCCAAAATTCACAGCTGGGAAATGTAATTGCAAGGTCATGCCACCGATACTTAAAAAGTAGGATCTTTGGTCACTGATGGGGTCCTGAGCATTGGGATTGTAGATGAACAGAGACCCAGGAGCGGCTTTGTTATAAAAGCAAGCTCTCTGGCATACTAACCCCATTGCACCAGGTGATGTCCTCTGCCACACCAGAGATGTGGCAGGCTGACCCTTAGAGATGCTGAGCGACACGTTTTTAGACTGGCAGCTCCAGAGACTTGGTGCTTGGTAGACAGTTATATATTAGCTACTGTCAAAGCATCCGAAAGCAGACTCAGACAGCATACTTCCTACCCCTGGTTCCCTAAAGTCCGCAGCATACCCAATGCCCAGGAGACTGCCAGCCCCTCGGTACTTGATTTACAAAATTCCGTTTCCAGCCAAAATGGAGTACCTGCTCACCTCACCTTCTTCAAATTTAACTATTGTTCAGGTTGGTGGAAGTACTCGAGAGACCATCTTTATCTGAGAACTCCAATAAGGGCTGGTGAGTGACAAAAGCATTATCTCTCAGAAACCTCATGCTCATTCAAATGGACTTCACTTCTGAGGAGTAGGGAAGGAGCTGGCTTTATCTCAGGTTTGGAGTTTCTGTCAGGTTTGGGACACTCTGACATTAAAGTTCATCTAGGCTGGGCATTGGTGGCGCACGCCTTTAATCCCAGCACTCGGGAGGCAGAGGCAGGTGGATCTCTGTGAGTTCGAGACCAGCTGGGTCTACAAGAACTAGTTCCAGGACAGCCTCCAAAGCCACAGAGAAACCCTGTCTCGAAAAACCAAAAAATAAAATAAAATAAAATAAAGTTCATCTAGATAGACAAAGCAACAACAAAACCCCTATACTCCTAAAACATCCTACGATGTGAACTTTGATGGTGTGGATAGACCTTCAAGTCACACTGATGTTTACACTGAATATGAACACAGTGCCTACTGCAGTGAGGCAGAGTACCCCAAAACCATCGCAAGTCCCTATCCTCTCCTCCAGCAGGTACCTGCTGATGACCCCTCTCCTCCTCCACCGGTTGTCCTGCCTCTCTCAAGAGGCTCAGGGGTCTTTCCTCCCCTGAAGTTCAGGTGTTCCCATCATACCAGACACCCCACCCCTTACCTGTATGGGTGCGAAGATGGGCCTTAAGATGGGAACTTTTGAAGTAAGTCTTCCGGCAACCTGGGAAATTGCAAACATAGTTCCTCCTTCGGGAAAAGTCTACCTGAGGGGCACAGTTCTGGCTGGAGGCGATGAACATTGGTGCAGGGGCAAGGGGCAACAGCTTGGTATTCCCGATGGCCATGACACTGGATGGGCAGGTGGCAGGCTGGGGGAAGGTGCTCTGTGGCAAGACCAGCATCACAGTTCCCTGAGGCATAGATGGGCCCATGAACACAGGCTGGGGCACCGCAGCAGCTTGGGGTAGGATGGGCTTGACAGTCCCTGCAGACAACTGAGGAGGAGGCTTCAAAAAGGCTGAGAACATGCCGTTTTGTGCAGCCACGGGGATCATTTGGCAAAGGACGGGGGGAGTGGAGACAGGGACAGAAATCAGAGGGGTGGTTTTCCTTGACGAGTCACTTTCAGAATTCTTTGGTGAGCGGGTCTGAATGGCAGCGGGCCATCCTGTCTGCTGGCCTTGGTAGGTGGGGAATGGAACACCAGACTTGTGTAAGCAAGGCTGACAGGAAACTGAGTTAGAAACAAGTAAACCATCTGCCAAGCGAGTGTCTTGCAAAGCTTCACGATGGCCCAGCAACTCTACTTGTCCTTCTCTGCTGCTAGGCAGTTGTTGCTCTTGAGCTGGGGCAGTTAGAAAACACGTAGAAGCAGGACCCTCCCCAGTGTGACGGATCACGCTAGTCATCACAGCCCTGCAGGAGGATCCTGAGGCTGGCTCCAGTGGCTCCTTTCTGCTCAGCGCTCTGGGGGCCACAGTGGGGGATGGGGGGAGGGTGGTGACCATGCATCCTTTGAAATTAGTTACTTGGGAAGGAGCAGGGGTCCCTGTCAACGGCTCCATGACCTCTGGGCTCTGAGGAGGAGTTATACACTTCAAGAGAGAGAAAGAAAGAAAAGCATCATGTCAAAGGTTGTTTGGTCAAAGGCACTTCAAGGAAATTGTCTGACTGCACTGCTCCCACTGCCTTTGAAAAGGTGCATTTGGAGGGGACTCAGCAGAGCTGGACACCCCCAGGGGGTCTTTGGGACTCCGGCCTTCTCACTTCTTCCTATGTGGATTGTCCTTTTCCAACCATGCACGTTATCTTGTTGGAAGGAAGGGTGGTGTCTACCCTAGGCCCACATAGCGTTGAAAAAGGCAATTTAACCAAAAGGACTGTAAAAATAAAACAAATTCATGCTTTAAAATGAAAGCTTTTTGTCAGGCAGCAGTGGTGCACGCCTTTAATCCCAGTACTTTGGAGGCAGAGGCAGGCGGATCTCTCTGAGTTTGTGGACAGCCTGGTCTACAGAGAAAGTTCCAGAACTACACAGAAAAACTGAAACTTCAGGCTTTTTTTTTTTTTTTTTAATTTATTTTAATGGTTTTTCAAGACAGGGCTTCTCTGTGTAGTCCTGGAACTTACTTTGTAGACCATGCTGGCTTCAATTTCACTGAGACCCGACTAACTATGCCTCCCAATTTCAGGCTCTTAAACCAAGAAAACAGTGGTTCTCCTGAACCAAGCCTCTATGTGCTGGCACCCAACACTTATTAACCACCTTAAAAAGCCCAAGCCTGAACACCTAAGGGGCTACTCTGAGCCAGCCCATCTGTCCTCCAGTCCTCGATCCCACCCACTCCTCTCCAATTCTACCTTCCATAGTGCAGTATTCAGGCATCTGTACTGGCCTGTCCTTGGGGTTCTGACAGGATACCCTTAGCTGCAGCCACTAAGAGCACCACCTGTGCACATTCACTACATTCCCTTTTGAAAGGGCCCTGCCCACCTCCCATCTTTCTCTCTCCCTCTCCCTCTGCCTCTCTCTTCTCTTCTGCTGCTCTGGTCTCCAGAGGCCAGTCTCCCTTCTCCCCTCCCCACCTTTCCCATTCACTTTCCATCAATACAAAAAACCCTTTCCACTCGAGCTCTGTTGAACAGCATCTTTCTCTCCTATGCCCCTTTTTAAAATTACCACACATACTCTTCAGTGCAAGTTCATAGCCCAGGCCAATCACATCTCAGTCTTATTACCATAAGCAATCTACAGCCTGACTTCTCCAACCCAAGAAGCAATTCCATAGGTGTGGCAAGTTAAAACCTTAAAATAGGCAGGGCGGTGGTGGCGCACGCCTTTAATCCCAGCACTCGGGAGGCAGAGGCAGAGGCAGGCGGGCGGATCTCTGTGAGTTTGAGACCAGCCTGGTCTACAAGAGCTAGTTCCAGGACAGCCTCCAAAGCCACAGAGAAACCCTGTCTCGAAAAACAAAAACAAAACAAAACAAAAAAAAAAACCACCTTAAAATAAAATACTGAATTATTGTCTCCAAATCACACTAGGTGGCTGCCACAGGAAGACAGAGTGACATGTTTCTACTAAGCTAAGGCTGTCTGACGTCAGGGCACATACTTTCTTTAGCTGCTTTCCACGTCCTCATCCTTGACTGGGACAACCCAAGACTCTGCCTTAAGACTCCCCAGACATCTGGTATACCACACCTTCTGTAACCATCTTCAGGCTTTATCCAATGGACACCAACCATCTGCCAGCAAGTTATGAGTCACCAAAGAAAACATTTTTTTAAGATATGTTTTCACACCTTGGTATCCATACGAAGAGAGTGTAGGCAACTTCCTGGCTGCATCATTGTTAATCTCTCTACAAGTTCTTCAACATATTTTACCTAAGCTATTTTGGGCAGTTCACAGACATGCTTCTCTCCCCTACCTCCTCTTACCAGAGTTGAAAAAGAATGGAAGTCCTTTGGTAGATCAGGTGCAGCTGTGTCCATAAGCACAGTGCTGGTAACGTCACCAGAATCAGAGACAGGTGTGAGGGGTCTCATCTGGGATCTTTGTCCCCAAGAACTCATACAGACGAGAGCTTCCACAGCTTCAATGTCTGTCTGCTCCAGGACGCTACATGTGGACCTTTCGCTATCATGCCGTTTCCTCTCCAGGATCGACTCGCAGATGTCCATGATGTCAACCTAAGGACAGCATGACACAGTGGCTTCTTAGTTGAGGAGAATACAGGGGGCAGCCCCGACAGGCATGTAGTGCAGCACACTAACAAAGCAACAAGTTCTGTCTTGGAATAAAAAGACCCACTTTCAAGCTCTGAAGATTTTGGTTAAGAAGCAGTTTACACAAGACAAGACAAAGCAAAACAAAACAAAAAAAACCCTGAAAACCCTGATTCTTAAAAAGGTTTCTAGGCTGGGCTATTGCTCAATCGTGGAATATTTGATTATCGCATGTGTGACCCTGAATTCAACCCCCCACCAATAAAAACAAAAACAAAAACAAAAACGAAACAGGTTACTACCTTCAAGCTTCTGCTTGGGTAAATGATTAAGACTAACTCTAGAGGTATACGTCAAAGTGGCTAGTAGGAAGTTGTCACTGGAAGGATAAATAAATGAAGCAGCTAATGACACTAAGCAGCCAGTTGGTGGGTGAGATCTACATCAAAAGCCACCAGGGTAGTGTCCCTGAGGAAGCATTACCCCAAACTTAATTTCACAGTAGCCGAACCTGGGTTCCATGCAAGTAGAGTCCATGGTGACTGCCTGTTTCCTCTGCAGATCCAGAAACATGAAGTCACTTGTTACTAATGAAAACTAGGAGGTAGGGTGAGCGGGAAGAGTGTGTAAAAGCTTGACCACAACCCAGGAACAGCATCCCACACCACCTTGACAACTAGGAGCAGGCAATAAGAAACTAAAACCCATCCCTTCCAAAAAGAGAACCTTACACCTATAGATACATTATTTCCATATATTCTGAGCTTTGAAACTTCGTTTGTCCAGAGTCCCCTTCAACGAACAGGTGCAAAGGGGCTTATCCAGCGTCACAGGGGGCCAAATTTGACCTCCATCAAGTGGAATGTCCAGCCCACAGAGTAGGAAAGGATGAATAAGGTCCCTAGAGTCCACGTACTGCTGTGTTGTCCACAGGAACCTGCATACCACTTCCCTGGCCCCCAACATTTCTGTCAGGCTCTACTGCCGGGAGATCTACACCTTCTGACAGGGGTCCCCTACGCTGACTCCACAATCTGGCCAAGTCCCATTACCACGCCCCTTCTTGCTTTGGCCTTGCCCAGCCCCATCCCATAAGCCCACCAAGCTGCCACATCTCCTCAGAACCTATCCAGACACATTCTTACCTTGGTCCGGCTCACTCCATTACACCCTCCTCTAGGTACTTTTGTCACTCTCCTGAGACACCTTAGGTTTGGCTCAACCCACGGCCCCACCCCTACACTCCTACCAGATGCTCTCACCATTCCCTCCCTTTGGCTCAGTCCTGGCCCCGCCCCCTTCACACCCCTACCAGCCCCTCACCACACCTCCTCATG